AAATTAAATACAGCTGGGCGTGGTGGTGCATGCCTGTAATCCCAGCACTGGGGAGGCTGAGGCAGGAGGATCTTTGCAAATTCGAGACCAGCCTGCGCTACAAAGTGAGCTCAAGCTCAGCCTGAGCTGCATAGCGAGACCCTGTCTCAAAAAGATAAAAATAAATAAATAAATAAATAAACAAATACTGGTTTAGGAAAATCCAGCCTCTCTTGATCCCCTGCCCCCACTGGACAGTGCACACACACTGTTTCAGTCTACGCTGACCTCAGTTTCCACCTGAACAGTCCTTGTCCCGAGAGTAAACTGTCCCAGGACAAGAGTCACTGGGTGGATGTGGGTGAGGGCGACCCCAGGGACTGGGTTCATTTGCACAGGAACCAAAGGACTCTGGGAGGAAGCCACGCGGAGGGTGAAGGGACCCATGTCGCTGTTCCCTACAGTAAGTGGTGAGCAGGTTTGGAATAAAGACGGTGGCCCAGGAGGTCCAGCTCAGAGTCCCAGGGAAGGCAGGGAGCAAGGTGAGGGTGCATTAGACTCCACTGGGGCTCCTGTGTCTCGGCAGCTTTCCTCTGTGCCACTGTCCCTCCTGGACCTGCTGTGCTGTCCCCTACCCAGGCCTGCCCCCACTGCCAGCTACTCTCCTCCTTTCCAGGCAGAGTGGGGGGGACAGTGCCTCAGAGAGGCCCGACACCTGCTGACCCGTGACCCCTGACCTGTAAGCCTGGTTCCCAGATGTCCCTGGCGCATCAGATCCCGCCCTGGATGGTGTGGTGGTTGTTCTGTGGGGAGTGTCCTGACGCGGGGGAGACGCAGGCAGAGAGGGATTGGGACGGGGTGGAGGGCGCAGTCCTGAGTCCCTCACCCTTGCTTTGCAGCTTGTGACCTGAGTCTCGGCTTCCACCCCAAGGTGATCTCATGGTGTCCACTTCCTGAGGTGGGCATGAGGCCAGCCCGAAAGAATGTGTGTGTTCGGGAAGGCTTAGTTAGGGCCAGTGCAGAATTGGCCCCACCTGTCCCTAGCCAGCTGTGGGGACAAAATAACAAGGGTAGGGGGCAAAGTCTCTGTGTCCTAGTCTTTTTGTGCTGAGAGAGGGGGCCCTTGGCCAGCCGGTTAAAGATTGGCCAGAGGTGCGTGAGAAGCTCAGGCTAGCACTGGTCCACACAGGACCGGGTGGGGTGGTGTCCTCTGGATAACCCTTGGGCCACCTCAGCCTGGCTTTGAAGTTCCCCAGGGAGCTGGGCCATGCTGGATCTTGAGTTGACACATGTGGTAACATCATTTATTTCATTTCTTTTCATTTCAAAGCAAGGTCTTGCTATGTTGTGCGGGCTGGCCTTGAACTCACAGCAGTCCTCCTGCCTCAGCAAAAGCACTGGGACTGTAGGGGTGTGCCACCCTGCCTGGTTCAACATCCTGTATTTTATATGTGCCACAGGGCCATGTAGGAGAGTCTCCCTCCACTCCGGGAGCTCTGGAAGAGGCACCATGCTACCCTCAAGCTGGAGTTCCTGGGGCCAGGCCGTATCTCTGCCCACAGGCTGGGGGAAGAGGGATGCCTGAGTGAAGGACTGTGTTCGCCTCCTGGATGGCAGCCCCTGGCAGGAGCATTTCTTCTGGACTCCCAGGCAGGACCGAGTCCTCCTCTGCTGGGGTCCTCAGGACAGAGCTGTGCCCTGCTCCACTGGAGAGTGGAGTGGCCCTCTCCCAGAGGCAGGCTCCTTGCCTTTGCCCTGGGCTTGAGGACACAGATGGCCAGGGCCCGAGGGACACTTCTGCGATGCACTGTTTTCTTCAGAGTCACAACAGCTGTGATTATTTCCAGAATGATGGGCAGTAATACCACCAGAAGAACTTTCATTTATTTATTTATTTATTTTGAGACAGGGTCTCACTATGTAGTGCAGGCTGGCCTTCAACCTACTATGTAGCCCACGGTGGTCTCCAACTCAAGGCAATCCTCCTACCTCAGCCTTCTAAATGCTGGGATTATAGGTGTGTGCCACCAAATCCAGCTAGGAACTCTCTTTTTTTGATAATGAGAATTGAAGTCAGGACCTTGTGCTTACCAGGCAGGCATTTATGCCACTGAGCTATATCCCTGGCCTAGAACTCTCTTTTTTTAAA